CACAGCCCCATCCTTTTTCTGCAAAAATGGAGGGGGAGTAGCACTTTTTCTCCACTCCCTTTTCATAGAATCACAGAATGGTTTAGGTTGGAAGGGACCTTAAAGATCCTCTTGTTCCAAGTCAGGAACACTTTCCACTAGACCAGGATACTCAGAGCCCCGTCCAACCTGGCCTTGGACACTTGAACACAATCATTGCTTCGAGGGCAACATATAAAATGCAGCCAAAGTTCTCTGCAGTGGGGAAGTCACCACTCTTTCAGTGTGAATGAAGGCACACTGCCTCAGTAAAGATTCCATGTCACTGTGCCTTTTGTTCTGAGTTACCTTAACTCAAGGCAAAGTCTTCTGTTTCACACGGGCCATGCATAGACAGAGATTCAGGATGGACCACGATAAAACTGAATCTTTTTTGCCATTGTAAATGTAAGGAAATTTCAGGGAGGTTTTTGCTGTTCTCCAAACAGTAATTGCATCAGAAGGACAGAGATCAGAACATTCTGTACTACCTATTGGCTACACAATTCACCATTAGAAATTGGAAAGTCGAACTGCTCATTTTCTGGCTCCTATAAATATCTGCTCTATTTGGCTTCCAGATCACTGGGAGCAGATGTACCAGATCATTAAGGGAGCAAAGAGGATTTTGCATCCTCAATTTTTATTGCTACCATAAATACTTTGGTAGTCACTGCATGGGGAATCAGACTCTGCAGAGCTTGCAATCTGCGTGTTAGTCACGATCAAGTGCTTTGCAGACATGGGCAGGATAAAGGCAGGAGTAGGCAAAATGGGAATAAAAAGTAAAGTGGTAAGAGTTGGGGAGACATCACATCCTGGTTTGGCAGCTGCCTGCTGACCACAACATGTCAGGGATTTTCAGGCATAATAAGAATGAAAGATTTGATGATGAGGAGTGAGACAGTAGCCTTACTAATTTCTATGGGGAGGTTTCACCAGGTGTAGGGCTGAAGCAGAAGGGGATGGGAGCATGGTACCATCACAGAGAGACTTAGCTGAGACTAATTTAGCAGGGACATCTTTGCAGAGGGGAGATGATATGGGTATCTGCCAGGTGAACAAGAAGAGGGAGAGATGTCTTAGACTTTCAGAATCACCATGAGGCTCACAGATGCTGGTGTGGTAATGAAGAGTATCTGATTGTAAAACCCAGATACACATCCTTTTCTTTTAACAGCAGCTTTTCAGTTACAAGAGCATCCTCTTTCCTGTAGTGGGAGCCTCAGTCATTTGCAGGTGGCCTGCACAACATCTGTGTACCATTTATATCTCTCTTCAGCTTCTGAAGTAAAGTCTGGTTTGATGGACCTGCTTGATCAGCTGGGTGCACAGAGTGGAGGAACATCAGAAGGTAGGGGAGAGGCAAAGGAAGAGAGAATCCCTTCTCCAATGGCAGTGGATGTTCAGTGGCAAGTTCTAGTACGTACTTTCCCTTCTGCAGGAACAGCTGGTCAGAATTAATTTCTCAGTCCAGTGCTGTTGGTGGGTTTGTGTGGAAGTGAAATGGAAGAGGAAAATTCTCAAAAGGACTGAAGCATTCAAGTATTACCAAGAGAGAGTTTTATAAAGACTTCCCTTGATTTCAGATGGGAAAACAAGAGGCAGGGATCAGCATTTCAGATCAAACACTGTAGTCTCATTATGTGGATGCTTCAGTAGTTGTAGCAGGAATTAAATGTGTGTTCTGCCCATGGCTCAGGCATATTGGAAATGCTATGAGGTCTGGGTTTGGAGATCCGTATGCTGCTTATACCAGAGGCCTTGGACAATCTGGTTCATTCTGTGTTCTTTGTAGAGCTCTAGGACTAGAACAATGTTCCTGGAATCCCTTGGATTGGAATTTCTCCCTCCACTTTTGTTGCCCTGATTCACAATTCATCCCCAGTGACTCCTTCTATAGCAAACTGAGAGAGAGGTGCAAGTCCAGGGGACACCTCTTTTCTAAGATTGACATTTTGAGTTATGGCAGATAAGTAGGTTACTAGAGCATACTGTTTCTCTCTCCAACCATTCCTGGGTCCTGGAGTCACCAGTTCAGAACTGAGCGTGTAAAGCTTGGTGAGATAACCCCCAACCTAATCTAAATCATCACCTTCTTTTTCTTTTGGCTTCTCATATCTGGCCAAGATTTTAGCATAAAAACCTCTTTGCTGCCACCATGCCTAAGGGCTGCAGGTTTTTTAATAAGAGGCTGTTATTACCCAACTGGTCAAGACATATTTTTGGGCTCATTTCCAGGAAGTTTTTGAATGATGTTTGGGATCAACATGAAGTCACTTCTCCTTGCCAGTCACAGTGCAACTTTGAAACAATACTGATTCAAGACATGCTGAATGGAGAGTAGATTTAGAGATGAAAGCCAAAGGTTTCTGAATTCTCTAGGCTTAGGAGATTTTTGGGAATTCATTTTGGGAGACAGGGCTGCTTCAGGCTCCTACACAAAAGTATACAATGAGAGAAGATTCTTACCTCAAAGAACTGCTCAAGTAAGTAGGCAAGACTAAAAAGAGGTGGGTATAGAAGCAAAGAGGACTCAATTCAGATGCCTATACATAGGTAGGTATCTAGGGCCGCTGGAGATGCCTTAAGATAGCTCTGAGATCCATGTGGAGCTCACAGATATGGCACAGAACTTGCAGGAATCCTTGGACTACCAGAACAGCGGGAGGTCAGGTGAGATGCCTTAGGGTATCCTGAATGTCCATAGGTTCCTATGTGTGGGCAGCTGGATCAGTCCTTAGAACTCCTCTAAGCATTGTAGAAGTTAATTAGATGTAGACAACCAAATTTAGGTGTCTTGTAAGATGCTCACACTTGAAATGACTTGCCCAAGGTCACAAAGATAACAGCCTCAGAGCCAGGATCTGGTTTGTACCCAAGTGGGTGGAATTTGCTGGATTTGGCTCTCCACTAACTGCAGGTCACCTTCACCTCACTCCTGTGAGAGAGGCAAGATTTCCTTCTGCTTTATAAGTCTGGGAAATGAGGCATGGGAAGGCTGAGTGACGTTTTTGAGACCTCAGAGTAAACTTAGTATGTCATATGCAGAAGAAAAATCTATGCTGGTAAAATTAACATTCTGGTTTTTAGGACCATAATTTACACAAGAACTGCTGTAATCTTCCAGTCCTATACATAGAGACAGGCTGCTCAGTACCTATGCCAAATCTTTCTTCCTGTGATCTGTTCTGAACCTTCCAAGGTCTGTGCAATTGGTTGCATGATGCATAAGTGAGGCAATTGAGAAAGAGAATCCCTGTGCCAGAAGGAGCTTCTTCCTTCAACTGCTTCACTGTGCATCTTAAGGACTTCTGTTTGCTTTAAATAGATGTGAATTTGGACTTTTTTGTGCACAAGAGCTTTGCGGACCAGACCCCAAAAAGTTTGGTTAGGTTTTCAGAGGGTTTTAGTGATGGTTGATTGTCACCTGAAATCACTGTATTTCTCCAGAAACACATACAAGCTGCTAATTGCATATTAGCAAAACAAGTGTAGTAATTTAATTATTATTCTGTAGGTAATTCTATTGCTGTTAAAACATCTATTATCGTGTTACCCTTTGTTGAGAGACTGCTCATAAAACCAGCTCTCATCTGTTTCTGTTGTTGGCAATTGAAAGTTGATGTGATTGTTGAAATGAAGTAGGGGGAGATCACATGAACCTCCCTTGGCAAATGTCCTCATGAAAATGTCATTCCAGAAGTTCAGAGCTCTCTCTGGAGGACAGTCTTGCCAAGGAACAAGGTACTGTTGCATCTGCTGGTAGTATTGACAGTCTGATCCTGCCCTTGAACTTCTCATGACTAGGAAGTACATTATCCCCTAAGTGGCTGTAGACCTTGTTTAGCAAGAGTGCAGATGTAGATATGAGCTGAATAAGAGATTTATGTGTTTTTTACCTTCCTTCCTGTCCTGTGGCATCCACAGCTCTGGCATTTACATCTTGTTGAAGCCAGTTTCATACAGAGTTTAAATTACTAGTAATTTTAAATATCTGCATATCAATATGAATATCTGCATGCATAAAACAGTTGAGAGGTTTGGATCAGTTAAATTGTATAGGAAGGGAATTCAATGCCAGGTATTCCAAGAGCCAGGTATATACCAGTTTTAGAAGGTAGCAGGACACTTCAAATCTTTAGATATGTGCTGGTAGTTAAGGTTGTGGTGCCTTAACTAGTTAGATATTCTTGTTGCTTATTGGTGTTTGGTGTTATACACACATGCTTTACACCTTTGTAGCACTGTGGGAAAAACATAAATGGGATGTCGGGTCTGAGACTGTCCTGCCCTGTGGGACTTGGCCTGGATTAAGTGGATAACTGAAATAATAACATACTAATGGGTTAAAGACTGAAAAAGTAAAAAATGATGTCTTAAATTTGCTGTAACAGCTTGATTAACAGCAAAAAGCCGTTCTCATTTTTCAAGTAATTTTATTTGTATTAGATGAAACTTTTTAGGTGGGTAAGGAATTTTGATCGATGAGAGTTAAATTGCTGACAGCTACAAAGAGCATTGCTGCAAGAGATGAGGTTTTGGACTTCAGATGTGTACCACAGTACATCTTCTTTGTATGAAGTGGAGGAAGGAATAGCAAAGCCCAAAGGCTGGTCACATCGATTAGAGGGATGAAGCCCCTCTCCTATGAGGAAAGGTTGAGAGAAGAGAAGGCTCTGCTGTGATCTAATTGTGGCCTTCCAGTACATGAAGGGAACCCACAGTAAAGATAGAGAGAGACTACAAGGGCCTGGAGTGACAGGACAAGGGGCAATGGCTTCAAACTGATAGAGCAGGTTTAGATTGGATATTGGGAAGAAATTCTTCCCTATGAGGGTGGGGAGGCCCTGGCACAGGTTGCCCAGAGAAGCTGTGGCTGCCCCATCCCTGGAAGTGTCGAAGGCCAGGTTGGATGGAGCTCTGAGCAACCTGGGCTAGTGGAAGGTGTCCCTGCCCATGGCAGGGGGTTGGAACGAGATGGTCTTTAAGGTCCCCTTCCAATCCAGGCCATTCCATGATTCTATAATCTGCTAAGTCTCTGCTGTGGTGTTGAGAGTATCACCACACTATCAGCAAAAAGTTCTTCCCCCAGAGGGTGGTTGGGCACTGACCAGGCTTCCCAGGGCAGTGGTCACAGCACCAAGGCTGACAGAGCTCAAGGAGCATTTGGACAACACTCTCAAGCACATGGTGGGATCTTTAGGCTATCCTGCACAGGGCCAGGAGTTGGGCTTGATGATCCTTCTGTATCCTTTCCAACTCAGTATATTCCATGACTTTATGATTCTATGACGTAGCCTGGATATCCAGATGAGCTTGGCCCCCTCCTCCTTGTCTTTCTCAAGTATTGAAGCAGGCCTGTTTTGCTAATTTGTGCTTTCAGTACAGTTTTGATTGAAAGCAACAGCAAACAGAGGACCAAATAGCAAAAATTGTATTGTCTAGAAGTGCTCAGAATTGTTTTACTGTTAGTATTTTTTATTAATAATGATTTTGTGGCAAACACCTCTAATATATGCAGGACATAGGCAGGTTTTAAATTAGCTAAAATATACCAACTTTTAAATCTCTGATGGAGTTTTCTGAGCTATCATATACTGTGCACAACAGAGTTGCTTACTACTGTGGCTGTAATCCATGTTCCTGCAGTTCCCTTTTTTCTTGACTAGTCACTGAATGAAAAACCCAATTCATTCTGGCATTCAGAGCTCCCCTAATACTATTCCAGTGAAGGAGCAATGCTTTTTTTTTTTTTTTCTTTTCTATTGAGTTTTTGCTGAAACTGAAAGCCCTGAGGCTTTTATGTGTGGTCCCTACAGAGCTGACCTCACAGTTGTACTGTCATTCATTAAAGGACACCCATTCCTAGACTGTAAAAGTACCATGTTCCTGATGTCATCTCTCCATGTGCCAGCCAGGCTAGTGAACATCTGCAACAGCACCACTGGGAACACTTCAGGAACGGGACAGGTTTTAAAATATAAAATATGCTTCATAGTATTTTTAAAAAAAGAAAATCCAGTTTACATGAACAATAAAATACTTTGTCCCAATGAAACTGGTGAAAATTCACTTCAGCTGATGTTTTTTTCACCAGGGTAAAAAAGAAGTTTGATGGAGAAGTTTGTGTCTGTAATTCTGAGTCTAATACATCAATATAAATAGCTCAGCAAACATTACTTGAAGTTAGCAGATAGATATACTAAAATACAGTCCCATCTACACATAACAGATAGAAAGGGCTGGTCTGATTTATTACTTTCTCTGATTTGCACAGATAAATCACTGAATCTTTTTAAGGACTGGGCCACAAACACTATAGAAATGAAACCTGTTGGTTCATGAACAGTTAAAAAACTTCAACTTTTTAGGAAGCTCAGCAAAAAAAAAAAGTGTGTAAAATTCACCATCACTGTCTCCCTGAACCTGAATCAACAAAACCCTGGATCAACAATATGATACCAAAGGTCAGACAAATCTTTTCCTTAACTGGATTGCCCTTCTGACCCTGAAAATTCAAAACCCTCACCCTAAGTCACCTTTCCCAAAAGTATCTATTTACATTCTTTCATAGTTTCCACATATCATGGAAATAGAGTAATTGTCCAGCACCATCAAGAGGTGATGTGTTTCAAGGAAAAACACAACCACATGGTATGCCTAATTCCCAAAGATGCTTTCAAAAGCTAATCTTTGGTGTTTTGCCCTTCAGAAATGCTTGTGATGTATCTGATGACAGGCACATGGTACGAGAAATGGGGTTACCCTTGGTTTTTTTGGGGAGTTCTGCTAATAAAATGTGCTCACTGGGAAAATAAAGGATATATCCACACCCTAGGGTCAGGTTCACCCCAGGTGACCAAGCTTGGTGACCCACCACCTGGCTTTGAGCTCTTTCTTGGTGGGTGGGGGTTGGGTTCCAGGGCGCTGGTTCTGCCTTGGTACCTCCACTCCCACCTCCGTGGGACTGAGTCACAGACACTGCACTCGCTGACTGGACCTGCTCCTGGCTGTGGTTCTCTGCATTTTCCCTTTATATGGTTGCTGAAGATCACAGGGGGGCACACCTGGTGTCACTGTCAAACCCCTCAAAATATTTTTCTACATTTTTAAAAACAATAAAGGTTTTCCTGTACCTTTAAAAACAGTAAATGTGACTCCCCTATGGGCCTAGGCAGGATATGAGGGGATGACTCCAGATGAGTTTTCTCTGCCTCCCCTGAGTGAGCGAGTGAGTGAGTGAGTGTTCCCACTGTTCTCTGCTCCCTCATTTGGTGGTTTGCACATATTTTGAGCACACAAAAGGCTTGTTGACAGCCCCTTGTGATGGGCTGAAGGAGTGCTCCAAACAGACCAGTTTCCAGGCATGATCCCTCATTTTTACTGCTTGCAAAGCTGTCATGGCCTGAAGAAACCTGCAGAAGAAATGCTGGCCTGGTTCCCACTTGGCCAGGCTCCCAAGCGTGACACTAAAGGTCAGTTGTTCCCTCCTGTGGAATCCCATTCCTCTTCTGCATTCTATTCCCTCCTTTTACCAGTCTCCTAATCTGAGAGATCATGTGGGGAGAGGCAAGAGAGGGTGGGGGAGGAGTGTGTGATGTAACCTCTGCTCTGGCAAAGTTACGAGACAACACCACAGTGCCCGCAGCTCTCGGTGGGATTTTGGTGGCTACCGCTGGGACACTTAAATAAGAGGCAAGAAGATCCATGCCCAGGAGGTATGAAGATCTACCACAGCTGTGTGGGACCCAAAAGCTGATGTACTCACCTCGCTTGTGGAGAAGAAAGCTGAGCACAGTGTCTGCAGCTCCTTGGTTTGCTGCCTCTACATGCCCCCGGGAGTGAGGCGACCAGTGGCTACATCCCGAGGACACCCCTGAGGAAAGGGATGCTCAGAGCCAGCTGCACTGCTGGGGTGAGTCTGTCCCTTCTTCCTGGGTTTTCCCGACCGTTTGGGAGGGAGGGAAAGGAAGTGGAGTGAGCTGGAATGTGTATGGATTGTTTGAGGGCATTTAACCGAATGAAATCCCTGCTGGATTGACTCTGTGCCAGCTGATAATCACCGAGTAATCTCAGTGCTGGCAGATTCTGCTCGGATTACAAGGGCATGTGTCTGTGTGTCAGGAGGTGTATGAGACCTGCTGGGCATCTCGGGGGGTGTGTCAGGGAAACCAAAAAGGGGTTTGACTGCAATGATTGGCTGCAGGAGAGAAATTTGGGCAAGTCTGTCACCTGTGCGTGCAGGGGCACATTACAGTCAAGGGAGGAAGTCAAGGGAGAAAATATGCTTTTCTCAATACCAGCAAGAGATGAGACTGGGAGGAACTGGTCCTGTGTATTTGCTAATGGAGAGAACTGGATCAGATAACATGATCTGTTAAAAGTAATTGCAGTAAAGTGTTTTCTAGGTGAACTTCCAAGCGCCATTGAAAATGTCTCCCTGCTAAAGGAAAGAAGGGAAGAGGAGGAGCATCATTATATATGTAAGTATTCTACTTTAATATAATATATTGTAGAATATATACAAGATAAAACAAAGTTAGTGTACAAACTGGACCTCAGAAAGCCAAAGAACAAACATAGCTCTTTTAACACCTCTGGAGTTGCAGTAGTACTGAATTAATTCCTAACTGCCTTCTAGCATTGGGAATATCCAAAAATGCCTGCAGAAAGAAGGATGCAGTGATGCCACCTGGTGTATGTCCTCATGTGGAAGTTGTGACCATAATGCTTTACACAAAATATTGTGTGACTGATTTCCCAGCATGCTACATGAAGCTCCTGGCTCTGGTAGTTCACATGCAGCTACTCAGAGTACTATCTAGAGGTGAAACCTCAACAAAATATCAAAATCTAGAAGTTAAATAATAAACTACTATTAATTTGATGAAATAAATAAAATCTGGAAGTTAAATAGCTAATCGTTGCAGGGGGTTCTCTTCCTTCCTTTTTTAAGTGTGACTTTAATCCTAGTCTAAAATTTAAGTTCCTAGAAAGCAAGCTATTTTCTTTCCATTAGCTATGGTCCTGAGCCTTTGTCTAAGGAGCCTCCTTATTTAAGACTCAGTCAAGGCTAGGATAAATAGGGTTAATATGATCCTGAGGATGCTAATTCTAATTTCTTTCCAGAACTTGTGATGGCTTCAACGTGGCAGAAAACTCAGGAATTCTACAACTGGGTTCTTGAAAGTGGAGGTAGGTAGAAATGCTGTTTTAAACAGGAATTTTTGCATAAGTAGCATGATCAAGGACAAACCTAGAGGGAACATGATCCTCATAGGAGCCCACATTTTTTTCATCTGGCAGATTTCTCCATAGTGACAAACTTCCCTTAAGTCTTGAAATATATCTTAGGGACACTCCAGCTGGATCAAAGAAAGGAATGAAAGAATGGGGGATTTCCCCTGTCTCAGCAGCTTTATGTTCAATGTACAATGGTCTCTGAGAGGACGAGGAGCAATATATGCTCAGGATTGCCTGTTAAGTCTGGAATACTAAAGGAAGTGCATATTCATGTGCCATGGAAAAGCTTATTAGACCAAAGAGTTAATATTTTGAGGTTTAAACTCTTTGTGATGCCAGTAAAACCCATTATCAAATGACATATTGACAGAAATCAGTTCTCAGTGGCTTGACATTTGACATTTTGCAGTGAGGAGACTTCAAATCTTCAATAGCTAGAGGTTCTGCCAATCCAGTTTGGTCCGAAAGGGCTCTGTTGGGTCCCTGGATGTAAGGAAAAGCCACAAAAAGCCATTAAGGTAGAATGGCAGGTCTGCATCTTGGCTTTGGCAGGAGGAGGATGTGGGGCATGATGCTCAGACTGTAAATGTTTCAGGATTTGAATTTAAGGAGAGAGTGTAAATTAGGATGCAGGACTTCTGACAAACTGTTAAATAGAGAAATGGAATGCCAAACAGCTCCTGACACAGCCCTTTACAGCCATAGCAAAGAACTGGAAGGTTTAGAATGGATGAGGATTAACAGAGGCATGTGGACAGATGTGGAATTTAAAAGAAAAAATCACCAGTGAGCCAGTGACTAAAATTCAATAGAGGATTTCCACAAGCAACCCAGGGCTAAAACAGTGTAAGGGGCCTGGAGCTTGGGAGTGGCAGATCAGGATGCAAAGGGAGATGCTAAGGAAGTTTAACAGAGCAGTGACCACAATGGAAACAGGAGAGGAAAGCTTGAATGGGAACTGAATGCTTTTGCAAATAGAATGCATCTTGCACTTCTGTGGGTGATGAGGCAGGATTAGGAGGAGGTGGCGTGACAGAAAGTCCATTGAGATTCCCTTTCCTGTAGGACTGAAGGGCTGTTATAGCAGAGATAAGAGTTTGAATGTCATTTCCTAGTGAATACGGGTATAAAAATGAAGGTGTGGAGAATTTCAGATGTCTTCAGAATTGTGCGGCAGAAAGGAAATAACGGGAAAAGCAGGAAAGATTTACACTCCTGAAAAGCCACTGTTGGTTTGGTTGGTTCTGTCCATCCCTGCACAGTGCCCTGGACTTCTTCTTTTGCCCAGGTGTGGGGCGGTCTTGCAGCCTGTGGGAAGGGGCTCCAGCTCATCACAGGAAAGGTCTGTCTTCCAGAACTGCAGTCCCAGCCCCAGTGTTGTGCTAAAGCCTTTTGGCAGAGTCTGGCACGTGGAACTCCAGGGCAGGAGAAGGACTGTGGCACAGCTTTGTAAAGACACCCGAGATATCAACTTTTTGTTTGCCAGGGAGCGTGCTGAAGGGAGGTAAATGAAGATATCTGCCCTGCAGTGTGTGGGGTGTGCCAGCTTTGGCTGTGTGTTTTGCTTTTCAGATCCAAGGACAGACCCATGGCCACTGGTCTACTCTCCACTTCCAGTCACACTTATCTTTGCCTCCTACCTCCTTGTCGTGGCACTGGGGCCCTTCTTCATGCGGCAGCAGAGACCCCTGGAGCTCAGGGGCCTGCTGGTGGCCTACAATCTAGCCATGATGGCATTGTCATGCTACATGTTTTACGAGGTGAGGAGACAGGATTGGCTCCTGGGCAAGCACCTGGGAAGGGTTTGAAAGCCAGAACCATTTGAAACAGCATATGCTGATGGACTTTAATGAAGGGAGTGGGAGCTGGCTTGGAAGTGCCCCTGTTTTGCCACAAGAGGAGCAGTGTTGCCCTGCTGCACCACATTCCCTCCCGTTTCTCAATCTCCCTGTCATTCATAAAATTAACACTGAAACGTTCCTGAATGAATGAGCTGAAGGTTGAGGTCTCCCTATTAAACACAGAACGTATGGAGGACGTGGAACCTCATTTTGTTTCGTGACTGACTGGTGAGGGGACCTGTCTCTGAGAGTGAGGAACACTGTTCTAGTGGGGCGTGTCCCTGCACACGACAGGGGGGTTGGGGCTAGATGATCTCTAAGGTCCCTTCCAACCCCTTAACATTCTATGATTCTATGATTTTCCAGACTTGGGCAGTCCTCTTCAGGAGTCAAGCCAAGCACGCTGCAGCTTCCTGCTGCTGGGAGTGTTGAGGACATTGTTTCCTGCTTCTTCTTTCTACAAGCCTTTCCCTTTTTTATTTAGACCACCAAAAACTCTTCAGGGGAATACAGCCAAATAGGTTCCGAAAACATTTTGATGTTGACAAATATGCCCTTTTAGTTTGTATCACAATTGTTACATTAACACAAACTGCATTTTTTTTTTCTTTGAGCAAACATTACTTCATCTGAGGACTAGAATTCACTGTTCCTGATGAAGTAAGTTTGAGTACTCCAGCGATTACATAAGGAGCTACAAATATGCCCAGGTCAAATTTTCTTTTTGAGATTCCAACAAGGATGTGAAGTACTTTGTCTTAGGTTTTTACTGTTTGCTCAGCCGTATAAATTACATGGATTTTCTGTCAGCGAGAATTAGATTACCTTATCATTAATGTGCATGTCTTTTTGGAACAGATGACTTTGAACAGAAAATTGATTTCTATTGCTTTTCCTTTGTTTCAGTTTTTGGTAACTTCAGTCTTGGGCAACTACAGCTACCTGTGCCAGCCGGTGGATTACAGCTGGAGTGAACTAGGAATGCGGGTACAGTTCTATAGAAAGCTTGTCTTAGGCCCTGCCCTCCCATGGGTGTGAAGATTATTTTGCTCATAAAGAGCAAATTGCATGCCTAAGAAGGCTTTTACTCCAATTTATTGCTTGCAAATCTATTTCACTACATTATCTACTTAAACTGTTGCATTTCACTTTAGTTCTCTAAAATCAATCATCATCAGTCAACACAGCCATCTAAGTTTGCTCTTCGATCACTGCAGAGAGGTTGATCTTACATTCTGAAGATAGATGTTTATTACAGATATTTCAAATTAACTCTGAAATATATGTAACTCTTTGCATTGATTGTAAGGATTCTGGGTGATCACTTTCAACAAGAAAACCAATTTGCGTGACATTAGTCTTACTCAACATTTCCTTTAGCACAGGGATTTGGCTAAAATTATTCCTTGTCCGGTCATCACAGGGGGGTTGGGTCACACCAGCTTCAGCTTTCCAAAATGTTGCATGAGTTTTTTTTCAGTCAGAATTTGGAGGTATTATGCTTCGCTTCCAGATGTAACCAGGCTTTGAACAGATGCAAGCATGGATATTATCTTTTCAGCTTTTCAAATATTTGCTATCAGGCAAAAACAAACAAACAAAAAAGCCCAGAAGAACTCCTTAATTTTTCCTGTTCCCGAGTAGGCAGGGTTCACATAGTGCATGGTTGAAAATATGTTGATTTTGGATAAAGGTCTAACCGCGGTGCCTTGTGCTGCCCAGCAGATGGCAAAAGTGTGTTGGTGGTTCTTCTTCTCCAAAGTCATCGAGCTACTGGATACGGTAAGGAGGGCTGAGCTCCATAGCGGGATTGGTGCTGGCAATAAATCACTTCCTTGTCAGAAAGGGGCAGGGTGCCAAAAGTTAATGTCCTCGGCTGATCCTGTATTGATTTGCTCGGTGCTTTTCAGTAAGAGCTGATTTCCTGTGTTGTGCTCTGCCTGTTTGTGGGAATGAAGGCTGATGCTGTTAAAGAAGAGGGCTCAGCTTCTGCAGGCTGCTTTTTGACAGTGTTTGGCCTGTGAGAGCCCAGCAGCACCGCTGGATACTGTGCTGCAAGGCTTCCTCAAAAGCTTCTTTCCAGGAAGGAATTGCTGCTGCCTGATTTGTCTGTCTCCATCCCAGTGGCTGCACATCCTCACTCCCCAGCACTCTTCCTGTGGGTGGGCACAATGCTAAGGGAGAGGCTTTCACCTTGGCTATTGCAAGGGGGTCCCCCAAAATCTTCGCTGCTGTGCCACTGCCTGTCTGGCAACAGTGGTTTAATACTGGTTAGTTGGGCAGTAAAGAAACTGCAAGTGGACAATGTGTTCTGGTGTCTTTGCTGCCACAGATTGTCCCAAAGCTGTGCACTAAAGGTTTGTGCCCCATGTGACATTGAAAGCTCACCTGAAAGAAGTACCACTTCATAAAGGAAGTAACTAAATGACTGAACTAACGAGGAAATCCCACCTCCCTGCTTGCTCAGCAGAAGAAAGCTGTGTTCTGGCCTAAATCTTCACAGTCTAGTGTTCTTTGGGGACAACACACTGTCTGAAATGTGAATCAGCATCCACAGCCCTTCTAGGCCCATTGTCAGTGGTTTGGCCATTCCTCTCTGTTTCCATCAGCAACAAAAGCAGCTTTTTGACAATCCTAAGTCCCTGAAAAGCAGGTTCATTTTTTTGTTATGTGTGTAAGCATGTGCATGCTGAAATACAGTGACCTGACACATACTCATCTGGCAAAACCATTCTCTTCACTCATTCAAATTCGAGAAAGGTTTGGGCATTCAACACAGCGCTTTTTCTTTGGATTGTTGTCTGGTACCAGCAAACATCTAACCTATGTCCTGAAACCAACCAGATCCAAGCAGCTGCAAATTGTATGGAAGCTCAGTCAGAGTCTCAAATGTGTCCTCTTCAGACCTTGGGACCTGAATCCAAAGATAAAAATTGTGGCTCTGTGGGAGAAATTCTGCTTTCCAGTTTCCCCCCATTCTAGATAATATAAGATCTATTGCATGTGTTGGTTTTTCACCAGTTTTTATCAAGAGCAGAGCAAATGGGTTTGGGAGACTGAGAATCATCATTAGCTATTTTTAAAACTTTTTATTGTGAAATATTTAGTCTAAACACATTGACTTAAGGTTTTCCTTTGTCTGGCTTCTTCCAGGTTTTCTTTATTCTGCGCAAGAAACAAGAGCAGGTGACTTTCCTTCACGTGTACCATCATGGCACTATGCTGTTCAACTGGTGGTCAGGGGTCAAATATGTGCCTGGAGGACAAGGTATGTGAGAAAACCTAGTGTTTCAGGGGTTTTTTGGGCTGTGGAGGTAGCATTAACAGTGCAGATGGGCTGACTGGCAGGTAGGAAGCTCACCTAGTTCCAAAGGTGTGAAAAACATGTGCATTTGAGATGATACCATCTGCTCTGCTCTTCGGGCTATTCAGACTGCTACATTCACTGCGTCATCCAGAATGAGAATGTGCCAACAGAATGTGTCCAAACAGAAGAAATAACACCCTACACAAGGTCTATGTATGTCTCATCGCCGATCAGCACTCCCTTGCTTCCCACTCGGAGGGCCTGGTGCAGCAGCCCAGGTTCTGGCTCTCCATTTCGTTTACTGCTCTTTCTGATCCGGACCCAGAGTGCTTCTCCTGTTTGCTCCTCTGGAAGAGAAGCATCTGAGTACTAACTAGGCCCTATACAAGATGCTGGGGTGTTCCTTTTTGGGAAGCCATTTCGGCTACATGGTGTTGACACTGGAATGTCATGAAATGCTTAGGTCAGAAGATAAAAAATTCTCTGCCTTTGAAGCTCTTCTCTGTCTCCAAAGTCTAGATATGGGCTGGATATACTGAGATGCCCCAACCCTGGCACTGTTCAAGGCCAAGTTGGACAGGGCTTTGAACAACCTGGTCTAGTGAAAAGTGTCCCTGCCCATGGCAAGGGGATGGAACAAGACGATCTTTCAGGTCCCTTCCAATCCAAACCATTCCATGATTCTCTGATTCTGTATGCTGAAAGGAGAAGGAAGAAGAGGGCATGCTTCCAAGACGGAGCCTAGACTGAAGGTTCATGCGTAGGGGTGATGTGATGTTTTTTGAAAGCATCATCATAGTGGCTGTGAGCTCTTCACAGGGTTGGTCTTGCATGGGTTGTGTGTCTTGTTCATCCTCACTTCTTCACTCCTCAGCCTTCTTTATTGGGATGCTGAACTCCTTTGTCCACATCTTCATGTATGGCTATTATGCCCTGGCCAGCCTGGGACCACGGATGCACCGTTACCTGTGGTGGAAGCGCTACCTGACCATCATGCAGCTGGTAATGAGTTCCATGTGTTCATCTCTGCACTCCTCTGTGTTGGGTGTGATGGCCCCTGCTGTCTGGCACCTACCTGGCTCAAGTCTTTGTTTGCTTCCCACAGAAATCACCATGTCCTTAGGTGTCCTCATGTACCACTATGACAGGTGAACCCGCTCTGAATTTCAGAAAACTCATGAGGGCCCTTCAGTGACCAAACAATGAGCCCCAGCTTTGTAATGGGAAGGAGAGGAAAAAAGTTAACCCTGTGGTTTTATGGTTAGATTTCTCCCTTTTATGTTTCCTCTCTGGAGCCCTGGAAACTCAGCTTGATTTTGGGAGGTGTGGGGCAGTAACTCGGGGAAGCTTTGGATTCTCAGTAGGGCAGGAGATTGGGCAGCCTTCATTCGGTTCCTTCAAAAAGGAAGGGTGTGTCTAACTGTCAGCAAACAGGTGAGTTAAAGAGAAATATGTGAGTTTGACTCTTTCTGCAGAGTATCCCTTCGGATTTTCTCTCCCACATCTGTGAAGAGATGGGAAAAATCCTGAAAACCCTGTGTTTTTTCAAAGATACACCATAAATGCAACGTTCCAGACAAGGGCAGTGACTGTAGGAGAGTTATTTCCACACAAAGAGAAGTTATGGAAACAAAAAGTATGCAATTACCAGAGATGAGAAAGAGGGTATAAATATATATAAAATAGTGGTGCAGTGAAGTGGTCCAGAGTTCTTACTTATCCTGAGTGGCAAAGTAGAACAAAAAAGCATCGAATAAAATGAAAAAGTATTTGTTACACGAATTATAGCTCAGGAAATAAATTTTTATTTAACATCCTTTTGGTAGGTAGAACTCATTGCTTCAGGGTATTGAGACAGGTCACTTAGTAACATACCAAAAAAAAAAAAAGGGATTAATGTTTAAATTAACAAAGATAGTATCTGTAATTCCTCTCTGCAAGCTAAAATGCAAATCAAAATCTTCCTGAGTATAATAATCTGATTACCAATGGGGAGGAAACCTCTAGCTTCCATATTCCAAGATCTCAGCTACTGGCCCATGGCAGAGGAGTGGCACAAGGGCAGTGATCTACTCCTTGCAGAAGAGGCTGGATTCCAAACCTGACCCCTGAAGCAGTGGACAAGCCTCAGTGACACCCTTCCATGTTGGGAAAACACCATTGAGCTTAAAAGGCAAGTTTTCCAGGGACGTCAGGAGAGGCAAGCAGGTGGTGCTCTGGGTTGAGGGTACTGCTAGGATGTTGTGGCAGTTGTGGTGGTGGCCCTAATGGTCAGCTGAGCTATACCTCAAGTAGGTTCCCTAATCCGGCTTCTTCTTTTTCCCCCCTCTTCCAGTGCCAGTTTGTGGCCATTGCTGCTCATTCTTCCTACAACCTCTTCACAGAATGCCCGTTCCCAGATGGCTTCAACACTGCAGTCTTCCTCTACATCCTCAGCCTCATGGCTCTCTTCCTACACTTCTACTACCGGACCTACATTAGGGGGAAGCAGGAGAAGCTCACTTAAAGAAAATCAAATAGGACGCTGAGCAGAGGCTGAGGAACTTGCACATTCTCTGCTGCTTGTAATGGGGTTGCAGGAAGAAAAATGTCTTTTGGGGAGTGTGTGTGAGGCTCATATCCTGCCTTCAAATACCTCAAGTTAGGGAGAGAAAAGGGAGGACAAAGCCAGGGATTAAGGTATTGAGGAGCTTGTTTAATAAGGCTGAGGTAAAGCTAAGCCAAGTAGTCCCCAGCATAGCAGGCTTTGTGAAATTAGCACAGGAAGCTCTTTTTGCCTCCCATCAGTTTCCAAGGTCTGGCATCCAACCACAACTCCCTTGTCTCATTTCTTAGGCTGTAGAGGGTTTCTTTGCATTAATAAAATTATCTCAGCTTGCTGCTCTAGATCAGGCAGGGCCACGTGCCTCCAGCCTTGTCCAAGCAATGTCCAAGTAGCCAGGAACTCATTGGGACTGCAGGATGCACTCACCTGTACACTGCATCCCAAAGCTCCTGCTAGAAATGGGGTGAAATACAGCTATATGACCCTAATGGTTTAACTTTATATAAGCATGAGCATGAAGGAAGTTGGACATTATGTTGTCTGGCTGGACAAGTCCCTTCACTGTCCTGAAGTGAAAGAAGGGATTTTTAGCACTTTCATCCTAAGGAAGTGCAGTAAGAACCACCATGTACCATTTTCTGGAATGCTTATTTGCCTTTGGTTGCTCTCATAACAACAGAGAACTTTTAATGCATGAAGACTACTTGGTATTGCTCCTTATAGGTGCCATAATTTTACTAGAATGAATAGACTGAGGTTCCCTATCCATAACATTTTTCCTCCAATTTTTTATTATTTTTAATATTATTATTTTAAAATTTTGCTTCTCATCAAACATGAAGAGTTTAACAACACCATAAGCAACCACCTCCACTACCTAATATTTGTATAAATACCAAATGTATAAAGTCGATTCATTGCCTAGTGCAAGGCTGCATAGCTCCACTGACTTTAACACATTATTTATTGGCTTCTGTTTTACTCCTAAATCCATTACAGCTAGGATTTTGCACTTATATTCATCTTCAGACAGTTAAATACTGTTAAAGTTTTGATGTGGCAGTGCTTCGAAGAGCCTAAATTCAGATTTTAAACTACGGAGTGGCATTTATTTATTGCACTCTGCTTTGTTGACTAAAACTAGTAGTACGGAGTAGTGATATTTTCACAGTTGAAACACAAAGGTCATGAAGGAGAGGATTAGAATTGGTAACATAGTGCACTGCCATTGCCAAGCCAAATCCACCTTGAATGTAAAAAAGTCTGACTCCACTGGGAATGTCCAGAGGACTAGAGCTAGTCTGAACCACAATGACACATCTTAAACATCATTCCTTTAATTTGAGTAGTCTTTCTTCTGATTGTTACTGGTGACTATGGAAAGCAGAGCAGGGCTTATTTTTACAACTGTGCAAGTTGTTTTTCTCCCTGTCAAATATTTCTCCATGCTAATTACTAAATAAATGGTCCTGCTTTTGCATACTGGAATTCTACTTTTGTTAGTATTTTAAGTAGCAAACCTCTGGGTGGGTCCCTCATTCTTCCCTTTCACTTTAGTTGGAAAGGCAGGAAAAAAAGACCTGCAGTGTATCTCACGTACTGTGCTCATTTTGAGGATTTCCCCTGGGGCCTCTCCAGCACTGAAGACTCAGTGCAAGCAAAGCTGTTTCATTACTCCTGTCCACTTAAATACTCACAACCTTCTCTTGCTTAAACCATCAGTACATTGAGCCCTCTCATTTCATGGTAGAGCATAATTTCCTGCAGCTGAGTGAATGATCTGTGCTTACAAAGCAATCTAATACTCTTTCTCATGTACATGAGGGGTTCATGAGTGGGTCCCAACTTCAGTTTCCCCTCACATAAACTTTTTCAGATTGCAGTTACTACTTTCAAAGGCTTCACTAATAATTTTATACCAGAGTAAGCATCAGATATTTTGATTTTCCTTCATTCATTCATAATTCACAACTGCTTAAAGATTAGAAATGAGCAGGAAATTTGAATGAGATTACTCCATGCTTTTGCAAATCCACTGCTTCTTAAAATGTATAAATTTGTAAACATGCCATCTAGTTTGTTTTTTTTTAAAGCAACCTGTGCAGCTGAATTTGTATCTGTGTATGACAGAGCTTCCTGCCATGGATTCTGGAGTGTGACTGGCCACATAGCTGGTAACAAAATACAAAAGTGTGATTTTGTCACCTGACAACTTGAAATAAATGACTGGTCACCTAAATCAGACACCACTGACAATATTTGTCCTAGACATGCAACCTTTCATCTACCTGTTCCTGTCCCTCTTCCTCACAGCCTGAATGAGGGGCCTGATCTTGCATTTTTGAATTGGTAAGAGCTTTTTGTCAGTGTCACTTCAATGGCATAGGATGAAAATGAAGTATTTTCTATTGACTGATAAGGAGGGATTAAGTCTGCCCAGAAACACCCCAGAGGAATAGGCATTGGTGTGGAGTACAATCCTTACAGGAGCATTGATGCAAGCAAAATTCACTTGTGAGAGTATTTGCACTAGCAGGGAAGACAAAATTGGATTGGTGTATCTGAGTGGCTCTGCAGGTCTTGATACTTTATTCCTTCAGAGTTCACTTACTTGTCTTCATTCTGTTTTAAATTGTGTTGTCACAGTTGGAACTGTCCACCTGGGCCATTCTGTTGAAACAAGAGCAAAAACTTGAGAGTACAGGTATGTGCCCCTGAATTTAGCAGAAAATAAAGGCACAGAATGGGATTTCCCCTCTAATATCAAGTCCCTGGAGTTTAAGATTACACCACAGCAAAGCACTGGAAGTCGAAAGGGTTGGGAATTATAAATTGCAAGTTTGGGTAGCTCATGCTGTCTGGCAGAGTCCAAAGCTTTGAGGATGAGTTGAAAATATCCTGTCGCAGCTGGATTTGTACAAACCTCTTGGCCAAATGCTGATTCCACTGCAGAATTCTCTGGAAACAAGCTGGCACAGCTGTGTGGAAAACAACATGCTCAGCTCCACGGCCTGGTTTGCAGTGAGCAGGCTGGGGTGTTACTCAAGCTTAACATGACATTTAAGGGCAGAGTTGTGTGTAAGTCTCCCCCTTATAAAATGTGGGTCATTATAGTTCTTAGAGTAGTTTACATGAACAAGATGTAAAGCATAATGGAAGTAGTCTGTTTAAATGAATAAGCTTGATATCTGCTAGTGCTCAGCATCTTTCCTGCTGTTCCAGTCAATGTAAATTATGGATGTTGTGATCAAATTACTTTTGAATTAACCAGACCATTTACTCAATGCTTACTTTCTTTCTGAAGATAAATGAGAGGGATTCTCATTTTAATCAAAACAAAATACAGAAAAGAAAATCAATTATTATTTAATGTTTTTTCCATCCTCGTGTGATGGAAAGTTTCCAGAGGAACCTGGGCTTAAAATTGCAAAGCAAAGGCAGGAACGTGGTTGGGTTTTAACTATTGGATTTTTATATATTATCAGAAAATATAGTGGTGTGTGTTTTTTTTTTTAAAAAGGCGAATGAATTACTCTAAACAATTAATCAAACAAAAGCAGAATACAGCAGATTGCTTCGTACAAAAAATAAAAATCTGTGGGTATAGATGTAAAACACCTACTAGCCAACAACCCTATATATAGAACAGTGTGAATTTGCTGAATTCATTAATGAATAACTTCATGGATTAGGGCTTGATAGATGGAGTGCTCACATCCAGATGTTTACTGTGATTTTTTCAATGGCCTTGTACTTAATCCTCCTGAACAGGAAATACGAGTCTTTTCCCTGGGGTCTCTCCTGGGGACTGTGGCAGTCTCTCTCTCTGGCCTGAATCATCTCAACACAGGATCAGGCTGCAAGGAATTAACCAAGTGGCGGGGGCACGGATTTGCCTTTAACCCCTTCGGTGTCTTCTCGGCTTCACATGATTTCCTCACCATCTGCCACAATGGCACTGTTATTTAGTCAACACATGGAGAAGAAAAAAAAAGGAGTCACCCCATGAGGCACATTAGTGGGGTCCCTGTCTCCTGTGGGGAGACACACGCTGCCCCACTGCCACAGAGAAGCAAGGGGGCTGTGGGCAGATTAAGCCTTGAGGCTGGTGTGCATCTCTCCACATCTCAGCATTTTGTATTTATTTTTGTGATGCTGCTACTCGTTGTCAGTCATAGGGACGGCCCAAGAGGGAGTATCTGTGAAAAGACTGGTTGACCCTAAGGTGTCCTTAGTCAGGTGCACCAGAGGGTGTGTAGTGTGTGTGTAGGCGTGTTTGGGTGTGGGTAGGTAGAATCACAGGATCACAGAATGGCCTGGATTGGAAGGGGACCTTAAAGACCATCTCGTTCCAACCCCCTGCCATGGGCAGGGACACCTTCCACTATCCCAGGTTGCTCAGAGCCCCATCCAACCTGGCCTTCGACACTCCCAGGGATGGGGCAGCCACAGCTTCTCTGGGCAACCTGTGCCATAGGCACATATTTTTCACATCCCTGACATGATGGCTCTGCTGGGCGTAAGGATGTGATCCTTGTTTTCTCCCCATGGAAGTGTTGGTAAGGTAGTGTTGTGGGTACAGCCTGCCTTTAGGTGAAAAAGAATCTCTGGCTTGGGCAGCATTTCTTCTGCAAAACTTGTATGAACCTTTCCTAGGTGTTAGTTGGCAAAGTGGGGAATCTTAAAAGAATTGGATTTAGGCCACCCCTTGATACTGCCTAGCCAGGTGAGTCCCACTTTTCCAGCCTCAGGAGAAAACCTGCAAATGAGGCTGTGGGATAAGTCACTAATGCCATCGTGTGGAAAAGATGGGGGGGGGAAAGCAACATCCCAGTCACAGGACAGGACAATAGGTGTTATAACTGGATTAGGAGATCTGAGTGGCAGTGGGAGGTGGAGAGAATGCTAAATTTTGATGTGGGTGTGTGGAGGGTTAGGGACTGATTTCATGTGTGCAGGTGCTCAGGGTAGAAGTACTTTTGGCTAAATCACAAGTATGGAGACAAATAAAGTCTTTATCAGGGAGTGCCTAATTAAAACATTAACAGCACATCTCAGCACTTGATATGTTTCCCTATTCTGCATGTCATCTTTTCTCTCCAGTACCTTGGCTTTCTGCTGGTAGGACTGCTCTTCAAGAAAGAGTTTGGGGTGTTTATACCAAACTCAAAAAATGAAGTCTATTAAACAAAAATTGCCCTTTAAAACTCCCTGCTTGGAGCAGATGTTTCTTCCCCTTTAACATCATCATCCCCCTTTTTCTTCACCCTTTTCTCCCTTCCTTTGTACCCACATCTGCAGATACCATACTAAATTCTCAGAACTGGTAAAGCTGCAAAATAGCCACAAGTTACTCAAACATTATACAAGAAGCTGTATTTTCCTGAGATATCAATTAATAACATACGTTTTCTTCATAGGGTTTTCTGTGAGGCTTTCATCCTGATGAATTTGGGCAAGTCTTTCTCTGCACTTTAGCATAATCCCATCTGCCTGCAAATTCAGGATGTGAACACCACAATGCAGTATTTAGAAAGGCTAGACACCTGGTTTGAAGGGAGAATTTAAATTCAGTGTAATCTCTCCCAGGCATTCCCTACAATTGATGAAGGAATGACAGAATGGATACAACCATTTGAGAGGCAGCAAGTTTACTAGCCCTCTGTGCACTTTATTGTGCTCTCTGTGGTGTCCATCATCACAAATGTCCGGGGATGTTTCCTCTTGAAATATTATTATTCCTGAGGCAATGTTTGGAGGGAGAACGCCTTGCATTAAAGCAGCTGACAGAGCTGGAAAACCAGATTAATTTTCCAGTGTGGAAGCCCTTCTCTGGTTATAATCCCTGACATGCCTTGGCAACAGATCAGCTACTACTTGTTGGAGTGCACAGGTGTGTTTATGGTGTGTCTGTATTTATTGTGGACTTTGCTAGTCCCAAGGGCTGTTATACTACATTTTGCAAATTTGACACATTATTCCATTAAATAGCTTTAAATCAGAGGGCTGTTCTTTTCAAAGAGGCTGCTCTAGAAACTTATCTATAATTTTGCTTCTAGGAATTACTTGTGTGAGTAAAGAGGTCCTTTACTTCACTGGCACGGTGGCAAAACAGGTCAGTGATTCTGTACTCAGTTCTCAGAGGTAAATTACAGAACATGGGCAAATCACCACTTACAGAAACTATTTAATGCAATTATGGTTTTCTATTTGGGCACTGCCTTTAGTATCTTTGGGCATATTTAATACACAGAGGTAATGTTTTAAATTAAGGGAAAACCACTACGCATGGTGAATCTATGTAAACTGCTTGATGGAGCTATGAATATTACCATAAGGATTCAGGAAAAATGTCTCTGCAGTGATGCCAACTGGAAAGCAAAACGGTTTTTCACTTAATTTCGTATTTACACTCGATTTTGTTAGAAACCCAGAAACGCCACAAGAGTGGAGTGGTGTATATGCAGATAGGTTCTCATCGTACAGTATTTATATACATATTTAGTATATTCACCGGTAGACCTTGAATAGAATGAATGATTTCATGGTTTGAATACAGAAAGTGAGATCTTAGCATGGACTGTATTACTGAACTGTAACTGAAGTCATTGTGCAAAGCTGCTTCGATTCCTTTTCTCTAATAAAATGTGCATCTACTGAAATGTTTCAGACTTGGATATGGGTTTAAGAATGCATCAGAGGGAAAGAATAGCCCCGTTTGCAAACGCTCACATAAAGGTAGAAATGTTGTCTGCTGGCGTGGGAAGCACCTTTTGGAGCTGCACTAATTCCATGAGAAACCGGGGGGAGGAGGAGAGGGGGAGAGCAACCGCAAATCTAAATAAAAATACCCAATCCCTTCTTTTGTTCTCATTCCACTGGGAAAAGCGCGGGGGCAGATACACGCCAAGAGGCGCCAGGAATCCCCAGGGCTGTCGGTTCTGATTTTCATTAGAGGTGAGTGGGGGTTTGCAGCTGCGCGCAATCCCTTTAGCGAGCAAATCCACGCGTGGGGGCCGCTCCGTAATCCCCGGGCGCGGCGGGGGCGAGGGCTGGGGGAGCGTGCGGGAGCCCCGGGGGGCGGAGGGTGAGCTCAGCCCCCCCTCCCCGGGCACAGGTACCCGCGGCGCCCGCCTTCCCGCATCCCCGGAGCGCTCCCCGCGCCGCGAAACCTGTGGGCATCCCCAGGGCACGTGTGGGAATCCCACGGCTGGGACTCGCTCCCAGAGCTCATCCGCGACTCGACGCGGATCCCTTTTGGCGGGGCGGGGCGGGGCGCGGTGGGATAGGATGCGCGGCATCCCGATTGTCCCCGGGGGATGCTGGCGCTGCCTGCACGGGGGCGCGGAGCAGGAGGGATCCTCTTTGACGTCAAGCGCCCATAATATAATGATCGCTCGTTCATATCCGGGTCCCCGGGCGGCTCCCCCGGGCCGCGCTCGGCCGCGCTCGGCCGCGCAGTGAGGGGAGGCGGGTCGGGCAGGGCAGGGCAGGGCAAGGCAGGGCAGGGCAGGGCAGGGCAGGGCAGGGCAGGGCGGCCGCCCGGAGGTGCCCGGCGGCGGCGGCAGCGGGGCCGGCGAGCGCAGCATGCCCGCCGCCTCAGACGCGCCTGCCTCCCGCCGCCGCTGCTGCTGCTGCCGCTGCTGCCCATGGAGATCGCGCTGGTGACTCTGGAGAACGGCGGCACCACGGCCATCGCGGGTGGCGAGGACGCCGCGGCCGCCGGCGGCCGGGCACGCTGGCGGGGCAACT